AACCCCGAAAATAGTATTGGTAATCACTTCGGCCCCTATATTATCTTACAGAGCCCCTCTGGAACTAGAGATCCTTATGATACTGTTGGAGAGGAGCTCTAGCCTTACGAAGCCAGGGGATTACGGGCTCTGAATCCCCAAACCCTAAGTTAAAGGAAACTACAGGTGGGGAGTTTAGGGTACATAGGGCTTCTATAAGCCTTCTATAAGGTATATAGACCTTCTATAAGGCTCCTATAACGGTAACTACCCACCTGAAAATGTCCTAGACTAAGCCCTGAAGCCAAGAGCTGTTTGGCTTCCTTGAAAGTTACATCAAAAAACCCCTCACTAACCCCAACAGCCTTCTAGAAGGCACAGAAGCCTGGAAAAGAATCCTTGAGCGGTTGTAGCCCGGACACTCCGGAGCACTCGGAGAGAAAGCCTTTGTTGCCCACCCCCCTCCACGATTAGGGTTTAGGGTTTAAAGTTTAGGATTTAGGGCCACGTCCCGCATCCTGTGCATAGGCCAGCAGAGTCTGCGCTGCCAAATTCTTGCTGAGCCTCAAGGACACAAGGGTCCGGCGATGGGCACATGAAGCTGCTGCATGGAGGCATTTAATTGATAAATCACACCATCTTCAACGATTCAACAAATCCTCGTGTCTGAGCCTCGGCATCATAGCGTTTACGGCTTAAGGCTTCTTGTCAGCACCAGACCAGAACCATCGAGCGTCGCCTCATGATCATCAGCACGAGCATCAACCTCATCACTCCCACCTTTTCCTTTACCACCACGGCCACAGTCAACAACAGAATCACCAACAAGATCGCCACCATGACATTCATAACCATCAGTGTTTTGTCGATTGAACGCAACAGCGCAAACACACACACACACACACACATATGTATGTATAGTATATATATATATGTAACTACGTATGTATGTATGTATGTATGTATGTATGTATGTATGTATGTATGTATGTATATATGTATGTATGTACGTATGTATGTATGTAGGAAACCTTGCTACCGCTGCAGCACGAGGCGAATGCCCTACATACCAAAGTCCGGAGTATGCCAAGCTTCCTGCGATGCTTTGAAGAAACGAAAACCACAGATAAACCTATATATAATGATCATTCCTTCATGAATGAGGGTTTTCGGACATTTTGGCAACATAATCAAACCAACCTAAACCCTAAACCCTGAACCTCAAGCCCCAAACCCGAAATTGGGCTTGGAGGCTCCGGGACCTCAGCTGTGTGACTGGGATTTCCCTGCATAGACCCAAGAAACATTAATCTTTATCATTATTGCGGCCATAATGAATATCATAACTAGGATCATCATTATTTTAACGGTTGTTATATGTATTTTGATATCGTTCTATTAATGTTA